TGGTGTTGAATAGGGAGCAGTGGTTCCTCTCTCCTGCCATGCAAGTCTATGAGCTTTATCTCAGGCTTATTGAGGGGACAATCAGATTATGCTTGCTTAGCTAGGAGGCCTCTCAGATGAGGTCATCTCAAGATAAGCATGGAGAAGCAGCCTGTCTGGGAGCTTTTGCTTTAGCTGTTTGGCCAAAAGATCTCTGGGAATGCAATTAAATTCAGCTTACTACTAGTGTTCTTGGAGGTGGTTTAATGAGTTATTTCCCACAGTCTGGGTTTGGGCTAGGCTAGGCTGCACCCTAGGCTGCAACTGCACAGTCTTCTTTTGGATAAGGAAGTGCCCTCTGAGCCATGGGCGACAGTGCCCCTCACCCACCAAAGTGTGAGATCTCACTAAGTTTGTTAGGCCAAATGCTTAATAAGCTGGCTGGGTTCAGTCAGATGACTGCAAGCTGAGCAGGGCTGTGCTGTGTGAATGGTTGGAGACACCTCTCTCTGTTACCAGACAGATCCTCAGGTTGGCAATTGGCAATTGTTCCCCTTTTCCACAGTCTGGGACTCCCTGGGCTCATAGAAGGTGCACAACACTGTGCATTGATTTTTAACACCTTGGGTGGTCTTCATGGACTGGAGACTACTCTCATACAGAAAAAAACAAAAGATGAAAATAACACCCGCCTGCAGCATAGTATATACTGGAGTACATACGTGCACTTGGGGTGGATTTGCATTTTAAATTGCACAATAAGAGATTAGTCTGTCGTATATTTGCCACCTCTTATTTAGCAAACTAATCAGGCTAACAACAATTGCTGCCATAACATGATATTGTTCAGGTTTGTTTGATCTGTTAACAATCTGCCATCTTGGGGTGTTCACCTGATTTCTTCTTTGTATAGCTTTTATTTCTTGTTTTTGCTTACTACTCTGCTAAGAGTTCAAGCACTATACTGCATAAGAGTGGAAAGAGGAGACACTCTTCTCTCATGCCCAACTTTAGAGGAAATCTGATTTTCCTTGTTAAATACAATGTTGGCAAAACTATTTTTCATACATACTTTTTATTATATTGAGATATGTTCCTTCTATTCCTAGTGTCTTTGAGAGTTTTATCAAAAGTGGATTATGAAGTTTTGTTAGTTATTATTTTTAGCATCTATTAAGGTAATTATGTCATTTTTGATTCTGATTCAATTTATGTGCTGTATTACACTTACTGATTTATCTATGATGGACCATCTTTGCATCCCTGGAATGAAATCAAATTGTTCATGTGATATTATCATTTTTAATGTTTTTGGAATTTTGCTTGGTAGTATTTTATTAAGAATTTTTTGCATCTAAGTTTATCAGGGATTTTGATTCATAGTTTCCTCTTTTTATTGTGTCACTATCCAATTTTCCATCAGGGTAATACTAGATTCATAGAATTGGTTTGGTAGCATTCTCTCCTTTTGTATTTTTTGGAAGAATTTGAAGAGCATTCGTTTTAGTTATTTAAAGGTCTGGTGCAATTAATCCATGAATCCTTCCAGTCTTTGGGTTTTCTTTGTTGGAAGATTCTATTATCAATTCCATCTCATGACTTGTTATACATTAGTTTAAGTGGCTCATTTACTGTAGGTTTGATTTTGGTAGGTCATATGCATCTAGAAATTTATGCATTTATTTTAGATTTTTCAATTTGTTGAAATATGTTTTCTTTTTTTTTTCTTATAATTTAAGTACTTTATTAATTTCTTAAAGTTACTGTTTTTCTTTTTTTTTCATTTTTCTTTTATTATTCATATGTGCATACAAGGATTGGTTCATTTCTCCCCACTGCCCCCACCCCCTCCTTACCACTCACTCCGCCCTCTCCCTCCCCCCCCAATACCCAGCAGAAACTAGAAATATAAGTTTTCAAAGTTATTCCTAGTGATTCTTAGATTTGACTGGTATCTATGATTATGTTACTTTTTCAACTCTAATTTTACTAATTTGGGTCTTGTATCATTCTTGCCTTTGAAACAAGTTTTGTCAGCCTTTTTTCTTTTAAAAGGAACCAATTCTTTGTTTCACTGGCTCTCTGTATTATTTTTGGTCCCATTTCATTAATAATCTCAGCCTGGTTATATTTATTTCCATCTACTAATTCTAGGCTTAGCTTGTTCTTGCTTTTTCAAGAACTTAGCGTGCATAATTAGGTTATATATTTGAAATTTCTCATTTTTAATGTAGGTACTCATAGCTACACACTTCCCTCTTACAACTGCCTTTGTAGAATCCCACAGGTTCTGGTATGTTCTACTTTTATTTTCATATGGTTCTACACTTTTTAAATTTTCTTCCTCAATTTCTTCTATAACCCACAGATTCTTCAATGTGTATTGTTGAATACTCCCATTTGTTTAATTTATGTAGTTTCTCTTGCTACTGATGTGTAATTTTATTACATATGTTATCACATGATTTAATAGTTTACTTAAATTTTTATATTTGGTTATGTTAGGGTCAGGGACAACAAATCAGAATGCTGCAAGAACACTCAACCAAAATGCTGGCTTCTAAAAACTAATTAGCATATGGATTGAGCAATGCCTTGTAGAGAATGGGTGAAAACCTCAGATCACCTCATTTCTCAGGCACTTTCTATTGTGACCCTTCCAACTTTGGGGGCTCTATTCTCCCACTTTATACTCTACTATTTCAATAAAATCTCCCACTTTACATTTTTAAAAATTGTGTTTGTTAAGGGTACTTTATAGCTTAAGATGTGATGTATTTTAGAGAGTTCCATTTGCTGCTGAGTAGAATGTTTACTTACTGTTGGTTGATGGAATATTGTATAGATGTCCATTTGATCTATGGTTCCAGTCAACTGATTCTCAAACAAAGCCAGAAAACCATAGATTTGGAATGGATTGCCTCTTCAACAAATAGTGACCTGAAGACTGGACTTCCACATGTAGAACATGTAAGCAAGATCACTGTTTCTCATCCTAAAACAATCAGCTGAATGTGGACCACATTTAAACCTAACCACTAATGCTCACTCTAAAATAACCAACTTAAAATGTACCAGTAACCATAATGTAGGACCTAAAACTGAAAGTACAAGAAGGAAGCCTACATAATCATTTGTATTAAGGAATTCATTCATAAATATTTCAGTATGACCCTTTGGAAGTATCACAAATATCTCATTTTTCCTATTGTGATATAATATCTTACCTCATATACAATGTTAAACTTCAAACAGATCTGGATGAAAATGTAGATAGATGTGCCAATATGGCAAAAAAAAATGATAGCTAGTCAATCATTCTAGGCCTAACACAGTCCTGACTGTGTTTTTGTACTTTGAACCAAAGGGGACCAGCTCAAAGTATGTAACTAGAGATGGGAAGGGAAGCTCGTGTTCCCATGTTGCTCTCTGTTCTGGGCTATTGGCCATCAACTTAAAGCATTGGCTTCTTCATTGGCTCATTTTAAATTTAGAACTTCTAGTTTTTCACAGATAAGAGAGTTTTTAAAAATTTGTCTTTGTTTTTTTTTCATTATATTGTTCACTTATGACTCTCAAACCTAGCTGCATTTGATTTTATTTCTTCTAAGAGGCACATGTGTAGATTTGAGCAGGCATCTCTTAACACTTAATCTAGTAAAGTCATTCTGGAGATGTGAATTTGTACTTCCCATAAAAGGTCCTTCCTGAGAAGCATTTAATCCAATCCCTCCATCTGTGCCTGTCACAATACTCCTATGGATTAGCTTTCTAGTTTTATTTTTAATGTTACTTCCACATGAAGCTTGTCCAATTTTCATATTAATGAGAATATTTACAAATGCATTCTCACTCAAATCTGCTAATGTTAATCTCATATTATCTTCTTTGAAAAATAAAATAATTTAGCTAATAAAAAATAAGAAAACCTAGGTTAAAAAATCTAATATATTGGCATAGAGGAAAGAAAAGCTAGAATTGAGAATCCAGGAAAGAAAAGCTAGAATTGAGAATTGAATTACATCAAATTTTAATGACTATCCACAGCATAGGAACCAATCAACATATTAAAGAATTAACTTACAGGATAGGACAAAATCTCTGTCAGTTCTTCATCTTACAAAGTACTAATTTCTGTAATATATAAAAAGTCAAAAGATAAGGATAATAAATAAAAATGGCAAATTATCTGAATAGATACTTCTCAAAAGATGATGCATACATCACAATGAAACCCATTTGTAGTATTAATGTATGCTAATTCAAAAGCATAATGAAACTATTTTTAAAAAATGTAAGGAGTTATTCAGTGCCCATCACAGTTCCTGGAATGCATTCAGCAGTTAAAAATGTTTACTGAATAAAATCATATATTAAAAACAGATAATCTTATAAGTAAGAATTTTAGAAATATAATGAACATATTAAATAAATACAGCCAAAAAATTCCTACAAGCGTTTTCTATTTTCCATCTACTTTCCAGAGAAAATGACCAGTAAGAACCTTACGAGTGCCACATGAAACTTATTTATCATAAGGGATGAAGAGAGTATTTATGAAGGCCTTTCCTAAAAAAAGACCACTAAACTGAGAATTGAAGGACCATTAGTAGGACTCAGTCAACCATTTTCAGGCCTTTTTATTTCTCTATAAACCTAAATATCTTTCCCTGTAATGCCATTTACACAGACAGAATAAAAAAAACCTAGCACATTTCACTGACATGTGTCTTTTATTAATGGCCTGTTTCATAAAATCATCTAGTGAAATCTTTCAAAACACATTCAATATAAAGGAAAGTTGGACGCTGATCTATGTAACACATAATAATTAACTCAGTAATGTATGAATAGTGTGAATAGAACAGGCAAGATTATAAAATTCTTAGAAGAAAACTAAAATGTCTTCCTTACCTTAGGTTCTTTGAAATGATACCAAACACATAAGCAAGAAAATTAACAAATACATGTATTTTCTCAGGGTTTGAAAATCACAATTCCAACTTTCAGGATTAAGAAATTCACAATATTGGCCTTAGAGAGCACAGTGTCCATTTAGTTTTAACGTCAGTGATCCATGAAGGACAAGAGACTGCTCGGCTGAGGAGTTTTCCCAGGGCCCCCTTCACATCCTTGTTCCTTAGGCTGTAGATGAAGGGGTTCAGCATGGGGGTGACCACAGTGTACATCACTGAGGCAATTGTGTTTCTCTGGGAAGAATGGGTCACAGCAGAGCTGAGATAAACCCCAAATGCTGTTCCATAGAACAAGGAGACCACACTGAGGTGAGACCCACATGTGGAAAATGCTTTATACTTGCTCACAGTGGAGGACATCCTCAATAAGGAGGAGACAATTTGTGAGTAAGAGAAGAGGATTCCTGTGACAGAAAACACACCAAGCAGTGCAGTCACCACATTCAGAAATGCATTATTCAAAATGGAATCAGAGCTGGTCACTTTGAGAACCTGAGCCAATTCACAGAAGAAATGGGGGATTTCAGTGCCTATGGAGAAAATCAGTTGCTTTATCAGTAGAATATGAGTCAGGGAGATCCAAAACATTATGGTCAAAGGCACCAGAACTAAGAGGCCACAGACCCAGGAGTTCATGATGACTGTGTAGTTCAGGGGGTAACAGATGGCCACAAATCTGTCATAGGCCATCACAGTCAGTAGAAAATTATCCATTCCTAGAAAAACATTTAAAAAATATACCTGAGTAAGGCATTCTGTGTAGGAGATAACTTTGCTCTGTGCCAGAAGGTTCACCAACATCTTTGGAATTGTGGTAGAGGTTAAACAGATGTCAACAAATGACAGGTTACAGAGGAAGAAATACATGGCTGTGTGGAGGTGAGAGTCAGTGGTGGTGGCCAGGATGATAAGCAGGTTCCCAAGCACAGTGATCATATACATCGACAAGAACAGCACAAATAGAATGGGCTGCAATTCAGGATCATCTGAAAGACCCAGTAGAAGGAATTGTGATATTCTTGTTTGGTTCTCTATTTCCATATAGTTGGTGTATCTTCTAAGGGAAGGTAGTAAGAACAACATTCAATGACCAGTCCACCATATTCTTAGCTAGTTATCACTTTATGATGTCACCTGTGGCTGGATATCCTTCATCCTCTATTGATTCCTTTCAATGTTTCTCATTTACACATAGAAGTAGCAGTCCATTTCTCTTTCAAATACTAATTTTGACTTAATTTAATCACTAGAAATATCTCTCTTTTATCAACTGCCTAGCTTACATTCTCATTATTATTTTATGAACATGTGCCATTTCTTTCTTTGAGTCACTCAAAATAATTCAAGGAAATTTATGTATTTTTCTCTTGTTATCAATACTTCCTTATGCTATACTTCGACAGTAGTAATTAAACATACATCTTTAATTGAAACCAACTTTATTATGTGACTTGAAACCTCATAGATATATGATAGATCTCTTTCAGTGAGGAAGCTACCTAAAGCTGTGGTATTTCTTACTACCTTATTTCTGAGTTTTAAAAATGCATTGCTGCTCAATAAGGATCTAAGTAAACATAGTATTCATTATTATTTAAAAACTCCTCCTTTATGATATTATAAATATATAATGTAAATATATACGATATATATAATTTAAATGGAAATTGTTATATTTATGATCCAGACTTTCCTGAGTAATGTTTTCTCCTACCCATACACCTTAATCTTTGTGACATTGGGAAAGTTATTTAAAGTCTCTTATCTGCAAGTATCTCACCTCTTCATCAGGAGCTTTAAGTATGCATTAAGACCAAATTTTATTTAGATAAAGTGATGTTCCTATTATTTCCTGTGACATATGTGGATTTCATAAATGTGAGATCTTTCTAAACAGCATCTTGCTACATAGTCCAGACTGGCCTCAAACTCACAATCCTCCTGCTTTAGCCTTCTGAGTGCTAGAATTATAGTTTGTCCCCAATGAACTCCTGTTCTTAACATCTCAACAAATCTGTTTGTCATTTGACAGTATCCCTCCCATAGTAGGGTGGCCAGCATGCTTGAAATTTTAACCACTGCAAAAACAACAGGTTGGTTTCCCAATTTGACCTCCATAGAGCATTTATAATTAATGACTATCCTGGTGGCTTCCTCTATCTGATAATGCCTGCTGAGTGAATACTTCCAAGAAGTTTAAAGAACATGTAAGGTAGAATAAGAGGAAACAAAAGCATACCACTATTTAAGTCAAATGGAAGGCATATATGATTGTTTGTGCTCATGTATCTCTGAAATATATTGTATTAAAACAACCAGATGGACTGCTTGTGCTTACCACAGACTGTGTTCTTACACTGACTGTATATAAAAAGGAGGCAAAGTACACCTACCCCATATGTACCTCAGCCCAGGCCCTATGCCTTGTCTGTATTGTGAATGGGGAGACATGGGTTGGGAGAAAAAAACAACCAGACTAAATTGTTAATATATGCAATTTATAGATTTGTGAAAAATACTCAAAATTAGGTAAATCTATTCATCCTAGAAAAAGAAAAGGGAAATGTAAGGTTGGAAAAATATCTACATTGCCCATTACAAAAAAGGTCAGTATTATGAATTCCTGGGGAAGGAAAATGAATTAAAGACAGAAAAATTCACTGAAGATTAATTTAGTCTGTGAAGGTGATTTGGAGAATATATTCTAAGAGAAATATTTGAGATCAGACATAAGATGGGTCATTGCTAATCACCCCCAAAGGTAAAGTAAACATTCTAGTATGACAGAACAAAATGTATAATTACCCTACTAGATAATGAGATGGTATTAATGAGGATTTTACAGGCCACTGTGATGCAGAACAAAGGACAAGAGACAGGAAGGACAAGTGTAAGGTTTACAGTAGAGCTTCCTTTATTCTTCCTTAATGTTCATTTTTCCACCAGGAAATTCATGTTTATTTATGGCTCTGAATGTGTGATTATTGTCTAATTACTTGTTTTTTAAGGGACTTAATACTGTACCTGTCATATTGTACTTTGCTTAATTAACAACATGAATGTTGGAAGGATAATAAATATTGAGACCCAAATATCCACTATAACACAAAAGAGAAATCTTCAAACTCACATGCGTTAATATAATTCAGAACTAAACATAGAAGTCAAATAAAATGCATTAATATGTATATAAAAATAATGAATGCTGTTCATCTACTAATAATTGTAGAAAAAGTATCTACTTTGAGACAGTATATATGCAAACATAATTCATCACAACATTAAGTCAATGAAGTAGACTCAGAAACATAAGCACTAGATATAAAATTCATTTGAAAAAATGTAACATCCAAAACTGTGGGTAACAGTCAGGAGTGAGATTTGTTAAATGAATAACACAAAGAGAAGACTAAGCCAATAAAATTGGTTGTTTAAAACCACACACAAGAGAAAATATTACATTAAACTGTTGCAGTATTTGTGTGAAATTAATGCACATGCAAATGTAGTCTCCTACAATTCAATCACTCAATATTTTCTGAATCTTTAAAGCCTTTGATAATATGAGAAAAGGAAATGGGGCCTATTATGAACATCAGAAAAGTAGTTTAATGATAAATGTATTGTTAAGATTAACATTAAATGATAACTACAACGACATAGAATTGTGAGAATTATCAGTAAATTAGAGTATAAAGCCAAGAGAATCAAAGTCAGCATACTTTAGAGATACTGGCAAACCCATGTTTATCACAGCACTGCTCACAATAGAATTAAGCAATCAGGTGAGGTGTGATCACTGGATAAGTACACAAAGAAAATGTGGTACAATGGAGTTTTACTCAGTCATTAATAATACTGAAACTATGGCATTTCCTGGATAATACATGGATCTGGAGATCATCTTAGTAAGTGAAATAAGACAGTCTCAAAAGAATCACATGTTTTTCTCTCACCTGTGGAAGCTAAGGGAAACCAAAGCAAAACAACCAAGGTTATGAAAGTAAATGTGGTCTCACCAGGAGATGGAAGTGAAAGAGAAAGAGGAGGAAGAAGGGGAGATAAGAAAGAGCAATAGAGGTGGTAAATGTGATCACTATACATTATATGCATTTGCAGAGGTATCATTATGAAACACTTTACCATGTACAGTTTAATATAAGCCATTAAAAAAGATGTCCAGACATAAAGCAAACAGAAATAATAATCAGTAAGTCAAATATGTCATTGAAAATAGGGAGTATAGCCAAATGATCCTATCAAATTTGGAACAAAAAACAGTTCCTTATGCATGGAATTTCAGTGATTGGTTATGAAAAAAATCTTCAGATTAAATAAACTTAACAGTGACCTCCAATTCATAGCTCAGAGTGCAGAAAATTTGGAGATACTCCAATAACTTACTGGAAAAGAATTCAGATTTCCAAAGAGTTAGAGAAGGACTCAGAGAAATAGCTGAAAGAGACTGGACTGAAGGGAAAGTAAAGGGTCTTCAAAGCACAAGCACTATACCTACATAGACTAAATAAGTATAGAAACCTCCTTACACACTTTCTTTTCTCTTTTCCTTCTTAGTCCACCTGCCCTCACTGCAATACACCAACTCCTTAAAACATGTGTTAATGAATCCTGCTATTCTCCATGACCTGTCCCAGGAAGCCCACATGGTTTTCTTAGAGTCTGAGAATAGAGAAGGATTTATCACATGTACTAGACACATTATTAAATGCTCTACCCTTTCTAGATTGCAACTCCCGAAGGTGCTCATTTGATATTCTAATTTTTCCACTTTTCATACAATCCAGCTCCCTTGGGGTACAAAGAAAATAGTAAAGTGGAAAATTTTATCTCAATTATATGTTACTGTAGGCAGTCACAGGGGAAATTGAGTTATTTCATCGAAGGAAAAACTTTTTTCTATGTTTGTTTTAAAAGTCAGGACAAGTCCCCTAAGGTAGAGTTAATTTCTACCATGAGCCAATCCCAGGAAACATCTCCTGTGATAACTCTCTTCTTAACAACCTTAAAATTACAGAAAGAGTTTTGAATTCACAATGTAATTGATGAAAAACTTCTTTCCTCTTAATTTTATTAATTTTTTTTCAGATTTACTTATCATTATATTAATATAAATTGACAGATTAAATCACAAATGTATTCTGTACACTATATCTAGAGTACATCACAGATGTATTCTGTACACTATATCTAGAATTGTTTAACATTGTGAATTGACTAATAAAATATTAACATGTACATTTCTTTATTAATTATCATTTCTGTGGTGAGAATATTTTCCATTAGGTCAACATTTTTCAGGAAAAACATATATCATCAATTATCATTAACTGTAGTTGCTGTACTGTAAAGTAGATCTCTTGAAAATATTTCTTTTTAAATAAGTTAAATTCTGAATGCTTTGACCAACATTTCCACCACACTTTCTCCCGGCTGTACCAGCCAGTAGTAACTACACTTTTCCTGTTTCTATGAGATCAGTTTTTCAACTCTACATATGTCAGATCATGTCATATTTATTTTAATCTACCTGGAACAGTTCAACTAATGAGATGTATTTCAGGTTCATCAATGTGATTGTAAATGACAGGAACTTTTTATGTGCCCTACTAGTATTTCATTGTATATATAACCTAGAATTCTTTACCCACTCATCTATTGATTGACACTTATTTTTGTTCCATAGCTTGGCTACTGTGAGTGCAGCTGTAAAATGTGGGAGAAAAGAATTCCTTTAAACATACTAATTTTATCTACCTGTTTACACACTAGTAGGATCAGAGGACCATATAATAATTCTACTTAACTTTTTAAGAAATCTTCATATTGTTTTCTATGTTGATTTTACTAATTTACATTCTTGCCACAAAGTGCAAGTGTTCCCTTTTCTTTATATTATTGTAAGAAATTATCCTTTATCATTTGATAACAATTATTCTAACAGATGTGAATTGTTATCTCATAGTATTTTTCATTTTAATTTACCTAATGACTAGGAATACACAGTAAATTTCATTTCAATT